GACAGACAGACAGACAGACAGACACACACATGCATGCACACACAGACACATGCACGCACACACAGACACATGCACGCACACACAGACACAGGCAGACAGACAGACACATACACATGCACACACACATACACACACAGACAGCTTACAAATCCTTTCACCTCTCACAATAACCCCAGTCACAGGCTTGGAAATTGTTGTTGCCAACCGGTCAGGGAGAGCTGAGAGCATGGGGAAGGTGGGGGGAGGGAGGTCCTGTTGGAGGGGAGCAGGGCTCAGTGCCTTTACAGCTTGCGATCCAAACACTTTAGCCAACGACCCCACTTGGGATCCCAAACCCTACTCTGGGAGGGTCAGGTTGAACGGTGCCTGCTGAATTAAACAATACATAAAGACCATGTCAGGGTGAAAACACTCATCTCACACAATTAACTAACACTCAGTCTTAGACGCAGGCCTTTCAGTCAAACCAAATGGTGTTGAATTTTAGCTTCCAATTGCGGTATTATCCGAAACGTTCATCCTGATCCTGTCTCCCTTCCCTTTAAGCGGGAAGACTGTGGAGCAGTGACAACATCACTGGGTTAGTGATCCAGAAGTCTAGGCTAACGCTCTGGCTGCAAACCCCATTGCCATTAAATTCAATTAATAACTCTGGAATCAGAAACTAATCTGAGTAACGGTGACCATGAAACTATCATCAAATGTTGGAAAAACCCATCTGGTCTACTGATATCGTTTAGGGAAGTAAACTGCTTCCATTTCTGGTCTCCAGACTCACAGTAATGTGGCTGACTCTTAACTGCCCTCTGAAATGGCACAGTGAGCTCGTTCAAAGGCAGTTAGGGACAGGCAACAAATGTTGTCCTTGCCAGTGATGCCCACATTCCATGTAAGAACTTAAAAAGACCAATTTCATCAACAGTCAACATGCTGTCCACATCATGGATATAGATAAAGGAGGCGAGGTACAAATCAGCTTTGATCTGATTACACAGTGGAATTTGCTCAGGGCTGAATTGCGCAGCTTTTTCTTGATGTTCCTCCATGTTTCAATCTATCAAATTTCAGTTAACTCCCAACTCCAGCCAGGGGTGGGTGCAAGGGCTTGAGTGGGGAAAGTTCTACCTTATCACTACTGTTTCTGTGAAATTCGTCATTTTCACCCTGAATGGTCCAGCTCTCCCGCTAAGACCGCACCTCCTTTGGCAGCAACATGGGTGTGATGAAGACAGAACCAACCTGAAGTTATTTACCTCTTTTTGTTCAGAGTGAAGTTGGGTTTCGACGTAAGTAATGCTTGGGACGAGGGGTGCAGAGGAAGTGAAGGTGCTGTCAGTAACAGTGCATCCTGGGGTTGAGGTAGGCGGGTCTGGTAAAGCGAGATACGGCTCGTTAATGCAGTCAATGTTCAAGGACTGCAGGTCACTGTGGAGGAACAGCAGAAAGATGACGTCAGACCCTCCTTCAGGACTAGCCTGGTCACTGACACTAAAAACGCCCAGCAAAACAGAATCACAAAGGCTGACACTGGCTAACATCTTCCTCCGCACTTTCCTTATCCTGCGGCCTGTTGACGCTGGAATATCTAAGTCTCACAGGCATCATCAGCTCTCGAGCATCTTGCCTGAATACAAGTTGCTGCATGCTGCTAACATGTTTAACTGAGCGGAATAGCATACCAGCCACGTCTCACCCAGCATACACATAACTGAGGGCTCGCCAACAGAGACTGTCCAAAGGTAGGAACATGGGCTCACGAACATGGCCATGGGTCATGGCCACTTCCTGTCATCATAGTTCTCCTGGGACCCAAGCTGAACATCTCCTGCTCCATGAGTATGCTGCAACCAAGCTAGTGCACCTGACATCCGTAAAACTACAATATAAAACCTTCACCAATAGAGACAATACAGATGGCCCAGAATGGATTGGAGCATAGTTCGAATCAAAAGGTTCTCTCTCACTCTGGGGCGGGGAGGGGGACAGAGCTCAAGTGTTACCTCCTGGTACAAAGCAGTCAGAAAATACTGAACACTGGGAGATTGGAGAGGGGCACACACTCCTTTACAAGGCAGGAAGGGTAATTGTAACTTTCCCAAATGCAAAAATGTGGTCGGTACATTATTAATTACAGTCGGCAGAAGACAAAAGGACTGAGTGGGAGGAGGTAGAGAGAATCCAGCGTTCTACAGCAACTATGTGCCTGAACAAAGAAACCGGTGCTCCAAAGCAACTGCATGACTGTACTGAGAAACCAGACTTCCATAGCAACTGCGCATCTGTACTGA